ATAGATATTCAATATTCAGATAGATAGATAGATTCAATATTCAGATAGATAGCTAGATAGATATAGATATTCAATATTCAGATAGATATTCGATATTCAGATAGATAGATAGATAGATATTCAATATTCAGATAGGTAGATAGATAGATATTCAATATTAATAAATTTTCATAAATTTAAAAATTCTAATAAAAAAATGTTTTTGGTGCATTCAATGAAAGTCTGTGTAAATGGTATGTAATGTTGTTTTGGACTTTGATTTCATATACAAAAACGTAAAAAAAAACGCAACATCTTTTATGTTCCACAGAAGAATGTAAGTCATTCAGGTCTGAAACACACAGATGAATAAATGATGACAGAATTGACATGTTTGGGTAGTTAAGTAGCTATATTTCAGTTGAAATGCTATTATTTCATAATCATATTCAATCTTAATAAAGTTCATATTAATTAAACTTTGTTATTTGTAAAAGACACACATGGACGTTGCCAGAGAAACAAACAATCTCTGAGTGTGGTTCAGAGCGGGATCTCAGAGCCGTAATTACGGTAATTCTGACACGACATGAACCTTTTGAATTTCTATTAGAATTCAGGTGTAATTTACCATCACAGATGGAGTCATACAGCAGCAGCACGCGTCCATCTGACGCTCTTGATGTGAAGAATGAAAGCAAACGTCGTCTGCATGATTTAATAAATATTTTATTGAGGCACATCATGCGGTCCAGTGCATGGAAATCAAACGGAAGCACCGCTGCTCATGTTCTTTACCATGTGTTTATGTCAGGAGCGTGAAGTGATGCGGGACAGACGTGGCCTCCGGCGTCAGCGGGTTACACCGCACATCCACACTCTTCAGAGCAGGCATCAGAGACAGCTTCTCCATCGGCAACTCTGAGAGAGAGACACAGAGAGACAGAGAGAGAGAGAGAGAGAGACATCAGACCTGTGCAGCATCGGCCCTTCAGGTTTGGAGAGATGTTGCTCTAACAAAAGTTGAACAAAAGTTTCCTTCATTATGAAAACCACTGTAAAACAACTAATACAGAGAGATCGGATACAGACCCAAGATAGGCTGTGATTCATTTCTCAAACTAAATCATGCACTTGGTATTTTTTTCTCATTAACAAGTTTTAAACGTGACTGAATAAAAAGTACAGATCAGATTAGATTGCGACATTGGATTTAATGCATTTAGCAAACAGTATTTGTAGAATAAAATGTCATGTTTATTACACTTTAAAAATAATCAGGTCTTTTCCTTCACTAAAAACACATAAAATAATGCTTATTTTTAACATTTATTCTCCTTATCGTCCTATGCAAAGCATGCTGGGAACTAAATACTAAAAAATAAATACTATAATATAGAAATACTAATATTTTTGTGCATACAATGAAAGTCAATGGTGTATAATGCTGGTTTGGACTTTGATTATACAGACGAAATCTATCATTTATATATACATATTCATTATAATAAAAACATATGATATATATATATATATATATATATACTGTAGATGCACTGAATTATTTTTTAGAGAGTTCTACTTTGCGATCAACACGAGTCAATGCAGTATTTGTTTACAGTATTTATTAATCTTTGTTTATGTTAGTTTACAATGTAAAATACAATGTTAGTTCATGTCAGCTCATGTCTATGAAATAATATATAAATAATTGATTTTAATAATGTATTAGTAAATATTTAAATGAACATTAACTAAGATTAGATTATTAAATGCTTTAAAATAATTTTTCATTGGTTAACTACATTATGAACGAACAATGTTACCAAATGAAGCCTTATTGTAAAGTGTTGCCGTTTTTATTTTACATGAAACAACGATCACATGACCAGTTGAATACTAAGGACTTTATACTGTATATCTATTTATATATTATACCATTTTTCTTCAGGGGCAAATCTTACGAACACTTTAAAGGTTCTGAAGGCAAAAAAACACAGACTTAAAGCCCAAAAGAGGCTGTGAACTAAAACAAACACAGAAGAGGTGCGAGATCAAAGGATCAAATTACCACACAGAGAGGAAACCAGAAAGAAAGTGAATTCTAGAGGAGACAGAAATGCTTAAAATGTATCCTGTGCCTTAAACGCAGTTAAGAAACTGAATGAAAGCATCTGCTAAAATGCATGAATGCAATGCAGCTGCACATAATGAGCGCTCGTGTGTTCCTATTGGTGTAGAATGGGAGTGGGAGGAGCCTAATCAATCAAGTGACCAGAGACACGCCCACAACATTGTGCCTCTCAAAACAAGCCAGAAGTAATCAAGTGCTGATTGTAAGTAAACGAGGTAGGTTAAAGCCATATTAATTTCCACGTTTCTCTTGAAAATTGCAATTTTTATTATTAAACTCCTAATGTTTTCTACGACTCTTAAACAGTGAATTTTCAACTAGTTTCTGGGCTATCATTGATAATTTTATGTCCAAAAGAGTAAAACACTGTGACTCTTTTAGAACACTGATCTGTTTGTTTGAGTGGCCCGACTCAACCAATCACGTGAGTTTGGGGGCGGGACTATCTGTTTGACTGACCAATGACTGTTATGGAAACCTGTTGGGAAACACTCATTATTTTGTATTTGTGTTTAGTGACACTAGTGAAGCAGAAACGACCCACTTCCGCTTTAAAACCTGTTACCGAAGCACTGAAATCTGAAGGGAAGCCTGAAATGAGAGCGTGATGTGCTTCTCTGTGTGTGTTTAGCATGTGCTGGTCTCCACCGTGTAGCTTGTTGATGTTATTATGTTGTATTGAGACGGACCGCACTTACGTGAGATTGTTACTCCGCTCTACGAGACGCTTTCATCTTCTGTAGCCGTCAGATAATCACAAAGCAAAAACACTGTCATGGAAATGATGCTCTGGGTTTTATTCGTATGAAGTATTATGGAAATGTTTGTGAATTGATATTGAAATTGGAGATGTTCTGTTCCTGGTTCAGTTATATCTGCTGGCTACTGTAAAGCTGTATTAAATGCATTACTAGCTCTAAATAAGCATTTTGCATTTTAATAAACATCACATACAGGCTGGGAAGAGATCAAAAGTGACAGTACAGACTTTATAATGTTAGAAAAGATTGTGCACCGTCTTAAGTCAATTATTAATTCAAACATACATTTTTCAATAGATCCAGAAGCACTGCGTGGGTTTAAATTGTGTTGACAGCAATGAAATAATAATAGATGGATCATGATTCACTGTGACATTTTCTTTGCTGCCACACTTTCTGAACTTTCTATCTAATTCTAAACCTCTCTGAGAGTGTCGCCGCATTTCTGTCTCAAACCTTCTGAATGTTTCACATATACAGATTAATTTCTCTTTCTGCACGACCCACAGCGCCGTCCGTCTGAAAAACAATATACACTTCGTTTGAGAAGAAATTTTGCCTGTTTGACAACTTTGGTTGGTTTGAAAGCCATTAAGTTATTTTTGTTTTGCATTGTGACGTTATGGTCATGAGAATCAAGCACAAGCTCATTAATGTAATGCAAAAAAAATATATATTATTTAAATTGTAATTATATATGATGATGCATTTGTCTCGCAGCCTTTAATTAACTAATGAAAATGAGAAATAAAATAGGTTTACGGTTTTTTTTTTTTTTCAGTTTAGGTTTATTTTATTTCAAGTAGCAAAAATGGTTTCATAGTTTTAATTTTAGATTAATTTTTTAATCTAAGAATTAGGATCTCAAAAGAATTTTGAGAATTACAAAAAAATGTGAAAATAAAGCATCTGATTATTTTCTTTAAATACTTACTGACAGTTTGAGGAGAAATGTGCTTAATGATCAGGATAATAATATCACAAATGCAAAAGTTGTTAATTGGGCCTAAAACTAATTTTGTGTCAAATTTAATTTAATTAATGTGTGATTTAGAGGTGAAGTACGACCCACACGTTCCTGTGATTCATCCATTAGCATTCATGTTTGCAGATTATGCTGCCATACTTTTCAGATCTCATTGCTCTGTCTCACGCTGTGTTTTGATGAACACTATCATGCATAAAGTGTGTGTGTGTGTGAGAGAGTGTGTGTGTGTGTGTGAGAGTGTGTGTGTGTGTGAGTGTGTGTGTGTGTGAGAGTGTGTGTGTGAGTGTGTGAGTGTATGTGTGTGTGTGAGAGTGTGTGTGTGAGTGTGTGTGTGTGTGAGAGTGTGTGTGAGAGTGTGTGTGTGAGAGAGTATCTGTGCGTGTGTGAGAATCTGTGCGTGTGTGTGTGTGTGTGTGAGAGTGAGAGTGTGAGTGAGAGTGTGAGAGTGTGTGTGTGAGTGTGTGATTTTATAAAATAAAAAAAATAACATTTAAAAAAATCAAAATATTACATGAAAAACTTAAGTGAAAATTAGAAATGTGGCCTTGGTTACTAACAGAAAAAAAAAATAAGCTTAAGTACTAAAATTATGAAATGAAAATTTATTAAAGCTATATAGAAATATAAAAAAAAAAAATATTAAAAAAAAAGACAAAAAATGTAGCACTTAACAAACTTACTAAAACTTAAAATAACAGTAATAGTAATAATAATAATAATTTAAAGCTAAAAATATGAATAAATGCTACAATGTAGCAACACTGCAGCAGACTGGACATTCTACTAAACCTCCACGAAAGTCTTGCAGGCTTGGAATAACACCAATCACAATTCTCAAGCTATTCTGGAAACAGAATGACACTTCATATTGTGTCAAGGTGAAGTATTAGTTTAAAACACATCTAGTTAATACGACCGGTCACCTGTGATCTGGTTCCCCTCCACGCTGATGTGCTGGAGGCTGCTCACATCCGTCAGGCGCTCGGGGAAAACCCTCAGCTTGTTTCTGGAGAGATCGATGCTGATCAAATGCTGCATGTTTCCGACCGCGTCCGGCAGCGTTGTGAGGACGTTACCCTGCAGATCCACCTCTACAGGAAAACCAGAAAACCTTCGATATGTGCTGATAAAGTAGTCTGTGTGTCTACCTGAATCTCCCATGAGGCATTGTGTGATGTAACGAAGTCAGTCACTCTGAAATAACTTATAGGAGTGATTTGATTCATATTTTGCAATTTCAAATATTTTCCGTTTTATGCTTAGAATCAACATGTAAACTACCATTTCAAAGTTTGAGGTCAGTAAGATATGTAATGTTTATGAAAGTCTCTTTTGTTTGCCAAGGTTGCATTTATTTGATCAAAAATACAGTAAAATTGTGAAATATTATTATAATTTCAATTCACTAATAAACATTATAAATGTCCTTCTGTCATTTTTGCTGAATAAAAGTATTAATTTATTTTAAAAAATATCTTACTGACCCCTTTTTAACTTTTCAGATTCATGCATTTGATACGAATCATCTAAACTTTTGATTTGTGTCCATTAAGTTTCAAATAAAAAAACAAAAAAATTAATCCGTTGAAATGAAGCACTTTTCATTTGTGAAGTATTTAAATAGCTAGATAAATGTGCCAAATCCACATTATTATTTAATATATATATATATATATATATATATACAGTATGTGTGTGTGTATATATATATATATATAATTTTTTTACATTTCCAGCAATAATAACTGCAGTATATGATGAAATGTATTGTTAATGTGATATAACGCTTGCTGCTGTAGAGAGATACTGAAGCTTCTTCTCTTGACACTGAGGACAGTCTTACCTCTTAACTGAGTAAACGTGAGGAAGAACTTGTTGCTCAAGGCTTTGATCTGGTTGTTGGCCAGAGAGATTTTCTGGATGTTGTCTGTGCAGCTGCGGATCATCTTGAAGACGCCGTCAGGGAAACTAACGAGGCCACAGTCGGACAGATCTGAGGCAGAACACAGGGTTGATTCAGACTGACTCTGGCATCAGAGGTTAATATGAGCGCTCTAATTAAGAGATTGTGTTGTTCAGAGAGCCGTCGCCTCTGTATATCAACAAGCTCCCGTTGTGCAATCACTCAGCAAATCAGACTGACGGACAGAATTAATGCAGTCATTTGCAGGCTCTTGATGTGTGTGTGGATAATCAAAGTGTTGGGCTTCACAATGCCGCAGATTGCCCTTTAGATTTACTTACTCTTGGCATTAAATGACTGATATGATGATTTAAAGAACATGACACTTGATAAATTGGGAAATGGTCAAAATCAAGCGAATATGTGATTTTTCTCAGAACAATAGCACCATCTACTGAGCACAAGCTGAAACTAATCAATAACAATAAAATAAATTGAGGAACATTATTTATTTATTTTTTATTATTATTTTTGCAATTACACAGGCCTGCATCCTGAGGAAAAAAAGGCTTAATATTACCTAATGTATTTATTTATTATTATTATTATTTTTATTTATTTATTTTTTCAAAAAATAAGGACTTTTCACATTTTTGATTAAAAAAAATTAAAAACATAATATATATATATATATATATATATATATA